TATCCGAAATCTATGATCGTGGTGGTCGGAAGTTGTCTAAAAATTGCCTCAAACTTGCCCAAAAAATCTTAAAATTCAGTGACCGTTTGTGAAAGAAATTTCAAACTTCAGTGACCGTTTCTGAAACTTTGTAACTTCAGTGACCGTTTTGAAATTTTCAGGTAACTTCAGTGACCAGTTGTGAAATTAACCCTTTAATTTTTATTTTTTTTATGATTTGACATGGAGAATCTTGGCAATTAAGAAATTAAGTTTTCTAGTTTTATAAAGTTTAAAGTTTTATATAACCACGGTATTCATCTGCTACAAATGAGGACATATTAATAAAATCTCGAAGATACCAGCCTCCTTTAACGAAAAAAAAAAATGTTTCAACAAATTTATAATGTATTCTTTGACATACTAATGTAAAACTGATTATAATACTAGGAAAATATAAACTTGTTATGGATTATAAAGTTTCATATAAAATCATAGGAAACAATTGGTCAGAATTAAAGACTATGTTCAACCAGCACATTCTCAAATAATATTTGAACCGGAATAATTTCAAGATCCAAAATTTATGTACAAGAACAGGATATAAGTTTCTTCTGTCAGCAAGGAATAAGGTAAAAGTAAAAAGTGAAAGGCATGATCACAGAATAATACCATACTCTAATTAAAGCAAAGGTAACACTCCACCTATACATGGAACAAAGCTTAGCGTTCAAAAAAATCCTCTAATCCTGAGGTGAGGGGGCGATGCTTATCGAAATCACAAAAGATGCAAAACCAGATTCGGGTCAAGTGAAAAGTGTCTTGCATTGGCCGATTCTATTGCCGAAAACAGCTTGTTATGATCCTTCAAGGGGGAAAGGAAGACATTGCGGTCCTAATAAATTTCTCTCATCTAAATGCACAGTCCCCTTAATGCTACGAAGTCTCTCGTAGCCCAACTTTTGAAATTTCTGGTTTGAGGAACTTCACCGACAACGACTTTAGTTACCACAGCATGTACAACCTACATATTTTGACAAATGTATTTTAAGTCAGGTATTATGCCAATCAACTTAAACCGTAATCAGAAATTGAATCTTAATCAGAGTTATGTTCCTAAAATCAAAGGGTTAGGAATTGGAAGGTATCATTTCAAAATGGAATCAAGAGCTTTAATTTATTTGGCATATGCTATCAAGAATTTACGTTCTCTAAATCTAATGTTCAAATACACTAACACTTCACCACATGATTCAAAGACTAATTGCTTATAATACCAAGAAATTGCGGAACAAAATATTTTGAAGGAGGATGATATCGCTAGCTCACCTGAATCCGAATCAATTTATGATGCTAGTACTGCGGTAAAATTACCATACATTTCTGTTGCACAGAATGCAATACTTTTTGGGGTTTGCAAAAGCATATTCTCAAACATAGGAACCCACAATTCCCTGCAAAGTGTATGCTCTAATAGCAGTAGGGCACCCAGGAAGTTCATTATTCTGAACTACCACAATTTGGGGTTCAAACTTCAACCTTAATCTAGAAAAGAAAAAAGAGAAAATATTCCTCCCTTTCTTATCCTACAGGAGAAGATTGACTAAAGAAACAATTTAATCAATACTAACATGAGCACGAAAAGGAACTTACCAAATGATCTGTCCAGACCCCAAATACAGTTGTAGAATTATGGCCCACACAAGATAAAGAATTAGGATATTGTTATATTTACATCAAGATTTACATAATAGATTACATAATGTCACATGCACTTTGTCATTTGTCAATTTAAAACTCAATCAACTTTTCATTCAATTTTTTCCTTCCATATCATATTATGTAATCCAGTATGTATATTTTTTATGTACGAGTAGCAAAATCGAAAGAATTAAACTCGATTTTTGCAGATGATGGGGTGACAATATTTGATTGATCGATTTAAATTTTTTTTTTTTTCCAATATCCAATGAAACTGTGCAAGTTGGCAATCTGTGTTAAAACTGTTGGACAAAAAAAACATTCGCATTTACATTTGGTGGGTTGGTTGAAAAATAAAAGGTGAAACTGCAAAATGCCGTAATTACATTTCACAGTCAGAAACTTCAATGAATTCACCAATCTACTCATAATACCAAGTCAAGAAAAAGGCTTAGAAAAGACTATTCCCCGATTTCCGGTTCTCCACGAACCAGAAATTACATCCACCGCTGAAAACGGACCCCAAATTCCCAGAAGATGGAGCAAAAGAAGAGCATACCCCTCTACTGAGGCAACACTCCAGAAGAAGAGTATTATATTCAACAGGGCATCAAATCAACCAAATCCTACTACACCTCTCCTAGAGGCCTAACACTATTCACCAGATCTTGGCAACCCCATTCGTCCACCCCTCCGCGTGGAATCATCTGTATGGTCCATGGCTATGGCAATGACATCAGCTGGACTTTTCAAGCCACCCCAATCTTCCTTGCCCAAAACGGGTTTGCCTCGTTTGCCCTTGATTTACAGGGCCATGGCCTCTCCCAAGGCCTCAAGGCCTATGTCCCCAATGTCGACCTTCTTGTTGATGACTGCATCTCGTTCTTCAACTGTGTATTAACCCAAGATCCCACTTTGCAAAACCTCCCAAGATTCTTGTACGGTGAGTCAATGGGTGGGGCAATTTGTTTACTATCCATTTTAAGAAACCTGATTTCTTCAAAGGCGCAGTCTTGATGGCCCCCATGTGTAAAATTAGTGAAAAGGTCAGGCCCAAGTGCCCTATTCCAGAAATCTTAGAGCCTGTTTGGTACAGGTTCTAATTTTCTACAGTAAATCAATTCTCATTTTCAATCATACATTTTTCAATAAAATAATATTTTTCATCACGTCAATCCTTTTTTCTTCTTTTTCAATCACACATTTCCCATCATATCACTATTCAAAAATCAATTCTTCCTCCAAAAATTCCTACCAAACACTCTCTTAACAGTTCTTGCAAGATTTGCACCCACACTGCCCATTAGAGGTGTTAAGACGGACAGGTCATTCTTGCTCCAAAAATCCCTATCAAACACACTCTTAACAGTTCTTGCAAGATTTGCACCCACACTGCCCATTAGAGGTGTCAAGACGGACGGCTCGGCCGACCCGTGAAAATCGGCCCGCATCGACCGGGGACCGCAGGCCGACCTGTGATCTGAGCGGGCGGTTCACGGGTCAAGGAAGTATGACCTGCGGGTTTCGTGGGTTGCACCTTCACGGGCCGCGATTGTGAAAAAAAAATTAATTTGAAATATATAATTTTTGAACAAATATATAAAAGTAAATAATTGAAATGAGAATATACAAATATTAAAATATATA